ACTTACCTGGGAATAACTATTCTCCTGATGTACAAAGAAGACACTCAAAATTATGCTTTTTTTCTAACCATTCATCCTTTTCCCTGAGGAATAAACTGGACTGCAGTTCTCCAATTGTAACAGTTTGCAAATCATTTATCACACAGCACTTTCTGCTGTGCCATGGCATTGTCTTCTAGCTGGAGAAACTTTCTTTTCATGGACATTGCGTGACACATTATCACAATAAACATGAGGTTTGAAACAATCTCCACAAACACACAATTAGTTTCAAAGGCCATCGTGGTACATTAATTAACTCAAGCCTCAGCCTGTTCTTATCTCCCCAGAGGAGTTTGCTGCCTCCAAACTTTAGAAACTGTACCTTCATCAGATGAAGAACTGCACTGCACCAGGACACAAATGGAATTCTATACACACAGCAATATTTTCCCTACAACATCCATGGTGAATTGTTAGCAGTTACTTGCAGAGATGGACTGGAAGGTGTAAGACCAACATGAAATGTGATTAAGAATCCCATGAGTGCAATGGGGGGGGGGCAGTTTCATTTCATACCTGATTTAACATCAACTAAAAGTAGGTTATCCTGTCTTCCCAATACCTTTTCCAGCTGTGCAGTCCCATATTTCCTTTAAGTTATCATGCAGCTGGGCACAAAAAATCAGTCCACCGGTCCAAGAGAAAACTAAGCTATCAGAAGAGTCTCTCCTGCAATGCTTTTCCTTTGGATTTAGTCCTGAAGGGAATTGTGGGTGCAATTGTAGCTGATACTGCCAGTGCATTGGCCTTGGTCAGCTTGCAGTGCCCACCCACCCTCCTCCTCCTCAAAAGGACAGTGGGGATTTGGGGGTGGGGGGTGAGGAAAATTAGGATGAAAAAGTTAATGGGTTGAGGTTACAAAGGGGAGATCTCCTGCCAAGTGCCATCGTGGGCAAAACAAACTCAACTTGGGAAAAATTAATTTGATATATAGCCAGCTAAAACAGGTTTGGATAGTGAGAGACAACGGTAGATTAAACCACCTTCCCCCATATCCTCTTTCCCAGGCTCAACACTACCCCCTCACCCCCAAATCCTCCACCTTCTCCTGTAGGAGGGGCTGGCAGAGCTGCTTCTCGTATTTTGTTTTTCTCACTCCTGGTTTCTCACCCCTCTCCTCACAGTCCACACCTCATCACCCGCCCCCAGTACAGCACCAGAGACAAAAGAGATTACTCTTAGCTGCAGAAAGAAGCAACGTTTTTAACTATGGACAATTTGATCTCAACTTTAAATTGGCTCTCCTCAAGCCAGTGGGCAGTGGAGCCAGGAGATCTCCCACAGAGCATCACACTGCCTAGATGTGTCAGTCAGACAACTCACATTTTAAGGGAATACTTCTAAAACCTATCTTCAATAGGATTTCTATCACAGGTACAATACATACAGAAGGTGTTATAGTTCAGGTTGGGTTTGGGGCTTACTGGCACTTAACCCTGGACACTGGGTTTGCCACAGGCAAGTTGTACTGCAGCAAAGGGGAATCCTTGCTCAGGATCATGCTGTGATGGTATTTGTTGATACCATTCACACACGTCCCCTGAAGTGAAACCAGGGCTGCAGAAATTACAAACTTCAGGAAGACTCTGTAAATTCTAAAACAATGCTGAGAGCCCTTGGCTAGTGAAGAGCTCCTTTTTGGAGCAGTCACGGCTTGGCTGCAGCAGATTATTTGCCCCAGAGGAGTTTGCGGTTTGATTCTTCCACTTGGCTTGTTTGAGCCCTGCACACCCACCAGATATTCCCAGATAATCCAAAAAAATAAGTATGACTCATCAAAACATCTCACACCACCTCATTTCCGAAGCCTCCCAGCGTTGTCATTAAGGGACTCATCACATCTGAGGCCTCTAATACCTCCAAGGGGGACATCCTGGCTCCACTGAAGCCGATGGCTGAGTGCCGAGTGACCTCACTGGGGACAGGATCTCACCTCAAACACTTCGCTTCCTGAGAACTGCATGAAACAAGTTTGGAAGGTTTTCTGATTAGAAAGATGAGCTTGTTTTGTTGTTTGTTTGTTTGTTTGTTTGTTTGTTTTGGTTTGTTTTTTCTGTTTGCCTACATAGATATTTACAGTAATGTAAATGAGTTTCACTGAGGCTTCTCAGGCAAAGGAGGTTGTGATGGTTAAGACTCAAAGCCAGAGGAAGGCAGGTCTCACTGTATCTGCTGCTCAGGTGCTGGCCAACATATTTTATTTGGTTCATTAGGCAGGGATTGGGTAAAAAGACAAACATTTTTTGTGTTGAAATAGCAATTAAATTATACTAATGGTCTTTATGGGGATTTATCCCTCAGGTTACGTGGAAGAAAAAGGATGTGTCACTGTAGGATCTAAACCAATAAAAGTGTACAAGTGCTCCTTATCTCTGTGTTACCTTGCAATGGAGTGAATGATCAAGCACAGGGCTATTCCAGCAGCACAACCTCCACATAAAATCTCAAGACAATTTCCTGCACGTTACAGGTTCTCAGCATTTCCCGGCAGATCTGAACTCTGGCCATTCTCAGTCCACCTGTGTGGCATCTACAAAATGTTCTGCTGATGCTCCATGGAGGCTTCAATTCTCCAGGTCTCCCATAAGCCCTCACCTGCCAATGAAGTCGACCTGAAAACCAGCTTCTTTTTTAAGTCACATTTTACCCTGAAAGGTGACTCTCCACTGAATTAGAGTGGGATTGCAGCCAGCCAGGTCAGAATTGCACTGACCCCAATGCTGTCAGAATGGCAAACCTTTTGAACCCGAGGAGATGCTTTTGAAATAGGGCTGCACATGGACTGTAGGTGGTGTTCAGTCATCTGCACACATAGCACTATAAAACGTGGCCATGCAATTCTCTGTCTTCAAACAGATAAATCCTGCTACTACAATAACTAGAACTCTCAGTGTATCATAGAAATCACAGTCAAATTCCAAGTTTACATTTTTAGAAATGTGTAAATACACACTGGAGGGCTTCCCATCTAACCCTGCATCATTCTGCTCAAAACTGAGTCACAAAGACTGCCCAGCTGCACCATCACCACATCACTGAAAAGCTGCACCTCCAATGCCATAACCACCAATATTTTTTGGTGCTTTTTTCTATACTCTGCTTTAAACTGACATTTTTAAGTAACAACAGCAGTCACCCCAACCTTGCTAATAACCCTAGATTTATTACCAGCTTTATTTCCTCTTAGGTTTCCTTCTCCTTTTCACAGCATCTTCCATATTGTCCTTTCCAGTTGAAGGGCTGCAGTCTCCTTAAATCAGGCTCCCTCCTCCTCCTCAGTCAAATCTCTCCTACATCCCAGTGTTTCCAGAGGTTCATTTACAAGCACAGAATACACAAAATGTAATTCCCATCACCTCCAAACTGTTTTAGTGCAACAAGCCCCTTCTCCATGACTGCTCAACTGCAGCCCTCTGATGTCACACACTGCAGGGCCATGCTGTTAAGGTCCAGGAGCAAAGGAAGACACAAAATGGGTTATTATGTCAGGTTCAGTTTAGGCCATTACAGCCTTTAAGCAGCAAAATTTATTATGTCTGAAGACCTGACTACTCTGGCACCAACGTGTCTGCTTCAAAATACTCCAGGACACGTAATTGTGTGTTTGAGTATAAAATCAACAGTACTCAATTTGTTTGTATTTATATGCATTTCATCTGCTGGTCCTTCCTTTATAATTTTAGCCAGCTTTTGCTGTCAAGTGTGTAATTTCCTCTTGGGCTGTATCTGCTTACGCCAGTGGCAATGGTTACTCATCACATAGAGGAGTTTACAGACCACGTCACTGCAGCGTCCATCCCCAACATTTACTTTTCATAGGCCTCTTTTAAGATCAAAATAGAACTAGAGGTAGAATTAGACCCATACTTAAAGTAGTCTAAGACCTCTCACTGGCTTAAGTAGGAGTGAATGATAGGAAAGTCTGCTCCCATTTTCACGATAACTGATACCAAAATTTACATGTTCTAAGACAGCTTCCTTCTCATAAGTACCTTGGGTAGAAAGTCAGCTCTGCACCTGGCTTATGCTCTGCACCTTGCCTGTGATCCTCAAGATAAGACAAGTCTTTTTTTCCAGTTTTCCTCTACCTAAACAGGAGGAAAAGTCAGACAACAAAAAGGCAAAGTGCTCGATTTCAAACAATCAATTCCTAAGCAGTTTCCTGAAGTAGCCTGGCTTTTTTCACCAAAAAATCCCCAAACAAACAAAAAAACCCAAAGAAACAAAAACCCCCAAACCAAAATAAAAATACAAACACAACCTTCCCCCCCCCCCAAAAAAAAAAAAAAAAAAAAGAAACCCACACTGATTGTAGTATTACATAGTCGCAAAAGCCAAGCAAAAGCAAAACACAGTTCCTATGCTGGAATCCAAACCTCCTCCATGAAGAGATATCAAGCAAGTCAGGGGAAGAAACAATTTACACATTTACATTTTATAAGCCATTCTGTCACACTTACTACATGAAAAAGTAAATTCACACCAAAGTTTCTATGACATCAGGATGCAATAGCACTTTTAGCAGGAAAACAGGCTAACACTGTTCCTTTAGCTTCTCCAATAACAAGGCCACTTTCAAACAGGGGTATCTACAAACATAACATTTAATTTTTCACTCACTACACAATCAAGTGCCCACACAATCATTTAATGCTGCCTGTCAGAGCAGTTTTAATGGCACAGATTCTTTGCCTCAACATTTCTGAAGTGCTGTGGGACAGTTCTTCATTTCAGCACGCCACGAGTGTGTCACTGAGGATCCAGTCTGGTTATTTCAGTACAAACTATTTCAAGACAGATGCATTTCACCTGCAACCTGGAAAGCCCCTGTTTTGTATTATTTACAGAACTGTACCAAAATATCTTCAACTATAGGACAACTCTGATGTCACAATTAAACAACCACCCAGAGATGACAGTATCTCAATGTATGCTGCAGTATAACAGTGAAAATGAACTCAGGCTATTAAAAAAAATTTATTCTTTTCCATGAAAGATTGGTACTACAATCAATAAAACCATTTCATCAGTCAAGTATGTCTGTTATAGGCAGGCACAACATTACAAAACAGGCAAGTACAATGCCCAGTTAAGCGAATACAGTCGGAATATCTATTCATCCACTATTTCTGAAAACGGATTTATCAAATATCCACCAGGGAAAAAGATGAACTATTTTAATTTCTCTTTGGCATACTTATCAGGACAATGAATGAATTACAAAAGTCTTCTATTGCTGCCAGTGCTGTGAAGGAAAAAGGACTTCAGTGGAAGGCTGTACGTCAGAACTCACTTTTAGGACTCGTGGCAAACACCAGTTCAGCTGCCAATGCTTCTAAGAGGCAGACAAGGATTACATTGTTTTAAAACTGCAGTTTTGCTGAAGGTATCAAAAGAGTTACAGTAAATTTATGCACAGTACATACATATTACACACAGTTTATATAAATACCCATGCTGTGGGCTGGACTCGAGGAAGTTGCTTTCCCAGCACCAGAGCTCAGTATCAGCCCTCCCAGCAGCCACTGAACACACATTGCACTTCGCATCCAGGAATATGTTCATTTCTGTACCTCTCTTAAAAATAGATTTAAAACAGAAGCGAAGAATAATATCCAATCTGTCCATAAACTTTGTTTTCTTATTTACACTGTAATATTCCATTATACATAAAGACTGCGTTACACATTATCTTCATATAGCTTTTTGTAATACATACAGCTTGGAGCTATTAACATCTTAGTTTGGGAACAAGAGATATGACCTATAAGACTATTAGGAAAAAAAAACCAATAACAACAACAATTTGAGCCTTGATTTTGCTCTAGTTTGTTTCACTGAAACCATTTCTTCGAACAGAAAAAAAAAAAATCCTCCTTATTGGGGAGGAAAAAAAAAACAACTAATTTTTAAGCTACCTCTGGATTTCCTTAAACCACTGAAAAACTTAGAAATCATAATCATTTTTTTTGCATAATTACAGAGCCACTTCAAAGAGCCTGTAACTTTTAATTTTAGAACACCTATGACAATTGTGACCATCTTTTGAAATTAAATAATTATTTTTTTAAAAAAACCCTTTCGCTTATTTTTCAAACATAAACCAGCGAAAACACAATCGTTGATCATACATGATCTCTGCACAACTGGGGAGAGTTCCTATTTCATTAGGGGAAAAAAAAATGAACATGCACACACCCCCATTCACAGAGTGAGAACATAAACTACAGCAGCACTTGTCTCAAGTTACGGTGCACGTGGTTGCAATATGGAGTATAAAAACAAGACCAGAATTTCCAACATCTGTTAAAACACACCAAAAAAAAAAAAACCAAAACAAAAAACAACCCTTATTGTACAAAAAGTCATTCACATTCTTTGCAACGAAGTGAGGAATCAGCTGCTCTCGGGACTCTCCAGCCTGCAAACTCCTCCTTCTATTGCCACGGACTGTCCTGCCACAGCTCCGGGAGGAAGCCTTGAAATGTGAGTCTGTGGGAAAGTCAAGAGAGTATTAATGACTGACAAGAGGCAAAATTATGCAGGGCAAAGCAATAAGTACTGAATAATTAAGCTGTTCCATCACTGAAGTCCGAGGACAAACTACAAAGCTGCAAACAACTGAGTTTGTTTTTCTATTCTGTTTGTGTTAACGTTTAACACACAAAGACAAGGACTCGTGACAGATGCACGGAAGAGGTAAACTGGATGACCCAGTGCACTGAAAGTAGAAAGGAATATCTATAGTGAAGACAAAAGGGTAATTCTGGCATTTCATGGTTTATAAGCCTGTTTCTTAGGGAGATTCAGAAGAGTTTAGTGCAGAAATACACCTTACAGAAACCTTGGCCACAAAAAACTAACAGAGGTGAACTAACACGTCAGAGCATAAAGCAACTGCAATGATCAGGTTGGAAAGAGGAGACTCCTCAGCACAGAATACCTACCTGTCCTCCTAAAAACCTCCAAATACTTCCTGTTACCAACCATGCAGTGAATCAACCCAAAAAACAATTGTGTTTCTGCCAACAGATAATTACATTATCCCATTTAAAAGATTTAAATATTGCAAAATGGGTACTTTGCAATGAGGCAGTGGCTTGTGACAAGAAGTACAGATGGAAAAATTCAGTAAGAATAACTTACTAATGAGCAGAAAGTGATTTAAGACTGTAGCCACAGTTCATTGCATGGAAGAGGCACTTTGTGTCTCAGAGGCAGCTTCTTTTAATTCCTTTCTTGATAAGGGCATCCTGGTGTCTGCTCTTAGGTGGTCTTGTTTTCAGTTAAATTACACAGTGAGATTTAATTAAAAACATTTCAGTGTTTTTATTTTACTGCTAAAACTTTGATCTCTGGCCTTCCTGCTTGATAAATGAACATCTTCCTACTTTCAGAACAGTTTCAGTTACAACTGTGATTTACCACTACAAGAAGACTCTCTTAAAATGTTACTTTCCCCCAAAACTTAACTGACAATTTTTTGTAAATGTTATTTCATTAATTTAAAGGGAAAAAAAAAAAAATAGAAGAAAATCAACTGGAAGGAGGATATTGTTTATTTTTATGACTGACAGACCCAAGATACTTTTCCAGGTCTGTGAATATTTCTAAATGAGAAGTGGGATAGGATGACAGTATAAAAGCAGCAATATTTGAATGCCACTGTTTTTTCAGTGAGATACTGCAATTAAAGCAAACCCGTAAGTTAATCCTAGTAAGTTTTTGAGCAAGGAAAGGAAAACATATAAGAGGGGATAAGCAGGTAGTCACTATCTATCAATGCATTAGCAAGTAGTTCTGCTTAAACAGCTGCCCAAAACACAATTCTGACGCAAAACCTCATTTCCTACAAAAGGAAAAACACGTTTCACACACACACAAAAAAACCAAACAACCAAACCACCTTACACCAGCATCTGTACACTTGCATTTACAGAAACACCCAACCACATCTAACAAAACCTTTCTTAAAGCCTTCACTTGCATCCTGTTTCTTTGCACACTTTATGCAATGGAGTGAATACAGATGCTGGTTTACACTGACTACTTTTTATTACTTTCACCCATGGTTGCCTTATGTAGAACAAAAAAAGAGGCAGATCTAAGATGATAGTGTTTAAAATATGTTACTTAATAAGTAATTTGAAAGGATAACACTGCCATGTCAAGACAACTTCAGAAAACTCCCGAGCGAATTCTTACAATTATATCTCCCTTGTTCTTAACCATAAGAACAAACTTCAGTAAACAAAAAGGAACATCAAAGAACACTTAATATTTTTAAATGAACCACAGAGCTTATTTGTACAGTTTGTTGTATTTTTATATCCCAACATCATATTTTACATTGGGTTCAGATTGTATAGCCAATTAAGTTTAGATTTTAAAAACATAAAAATAAAAAAGCAAACAAAAAAGAACAACAATGGAAAAGTTTTAATTGAATTCGATTCGTCTGTCAGCTTTACAAGTTGAACTGACCCACACCTGGAAGAAATTGTGCCTGGGAGCACCAAAAAAGGATAATAAACAGTTTTCCTAAATTAATCCTCCACTCAGCTTCAGGGAAGCCTCTCTTTGAGGAAAGCACATGCCAAGGAAAGGCAGAGTAGGAATGGCGGGGCCATCCATATCTTCAGCTCCACAAAGAGGTTTTACTGCCCCAAGAACCTTCTGATTTGATCAGCTTTGCCAGAGAAAAGTGAGGTTGGGGAGGGGCAGCAGGAGCTGAGGTACCAACAGCTGGGTCACCAGTCCTTCATCCCAGATTTTTGCTGCAGCTTAAAGGAGGAACCTCGTGCCCGCAGTTCTGAAGCAAAAAAAAGGCAAATGCTGGCTAGAACATCTGATTTTGCTTCCCACCCCTCCAGAAAGCACAGACAAGCTCACCAACCTTCAGACATCGGTTTTTGCTCCGTGTACTTGCCTTCCAAACACACAGTGCTTCGCTCTTTCCCTCTTAACCAAACCAAAATCATGGAGTTACCCACCCCAAAACCCAAGTGCTGCAGACCCTGCAATGTTACTCTCTCTCTCAGTGTCTTTTGATGCAACACTGCAAAGTTCCCATGACCCTTCAAGTCCAAAACTAAGAGGTCTTTCTGCCCTGGAATAAATGTTAACTGCTACATGTTTGCATCTTTTCATCATGAACATTTGATCTACTTTTCAAGTTACATAGTTTTTGTATGTCTCTTTTTTTTTTTAACAAATAAAGAAATATTACAAGTTGTGCCAAGACTTACTTCATGTCTCATATACAAGGATTCTGAAACAACCTTGAGACAAACTAATATCAAAAAGATTTTTTTTTTTAAAGATCTAATCTCCTCCTTTTATTCATATAAAATATTAGCTTGTCACAACAACTTTGGGCAGTTTTCTTTCATTAAAAGCATAAATACAATGCGAAATGAATATAAAATTCAAGCCAAAAGACAGACAGAGCTGCATGAGAAAGCTGAAGTCAATCAAACACTGCCAAGAGGACAGAGTACAACTACCAGATGGCAGCACATTCAGTTCTGAAGCAAATCTAGGGAGTATTTCATGTGTTTAAGCTCTCTTATTACATGCTCAGGATGTGCTTTAGACAGAATAATTTATAAAACAAACTTTTTCCATTCATTACACTACTGAAATAATGAAAGACCAAGGACATCATATCCTTTAGGAAACTGCTTTCTACAACTCTGTTCCTTAGAAAAAAGGAGTATCACCAAACCCTTATATTCTTTAGAAATCTGGAGCTTTCTAGCTGGGTGCACTCTTCCACCATGAGAACCATCTGGCCATGCATTCTCAGTTCATTTTCTAAGCAGTGACAGCCCATTTTGGCAGCAGCTCTGCTGCTCTGCCTCCTGAAAAGCTCTCCTCCAACACGTGGTTTGTGTGTACACCTGCAGTGTGACAGGAGAAGGTGCCCTGCAAAACACTGGAAACTGCTGCTGTCTCAATATCCCACGTGCAACTCCTTTGGTGACATCTCAATAAAGTAATAAAGGGGAAAAAAATAAAAAGAGAGGCTCCAGAATATTGTCCTGAGAAAGACAAACTGATGGGGTGTTTCTGGCTGTCAGGCACTGAAAATACTGATTCTACATACAGGTTGCTTAGGAATTTATTGGTTTTCCAAGCTCAGACTCATTCTGTGGGTTAAGTATATTACTATAAACTATTTATAAATCCAACTAAATCACTTATACATGTATTAAGACAGTCTAAAGCCACAAACCAACCCATCATCCATTCAGCTCAGCGTGCCAGGGTTTTGTAGAGGCGTTTCTCAAATACTGCCATGTCTCTTCAAATGTGATTTGTACCATCCTGAACTGCAGGTGCCAAGTCAGGTTATTGCATTTATATTTGCATGGCTGGATATACAATCCAAACTCCCCTGCTCTGTTCTAAAACATGGTCAGCCAGATACAAGGACACTTCTAGAACTACTGGCTTTATGCAAGAACTCAATCCAAAGAAACTGAACTTATCATCTCAGAGCCCAGAATTTCCACAAAGGTCTACGAGCCAAACATTTTAGCACTGAAAGGTTATTTCCAACAAACAGAAAAACCTTATTTTTCTGAGAGAACTGGATGCCCCACTGTATGCACAGGGTTCTTTTCAAACAAAAATTTCTGACTGATTCCCCAGTCTCCAGACAAGAGTGCAGATTAAGGAAAATTAGGTACAACAGTGACATATACTTTTCCTGTCTCATGAAGTTAAAAGACTGTCTCTGTAGTCCAAAATGAATGACTGAATTATTTGACTTCGTATTTCAGTTCACCAAACAGGCTCAGTAAATTTTTCCACTCACTTTCAAATTAGAATTAGGATTCTTCCAAGATGTGTTTCTTCACCCAGTGAGCGCTGGATAACTGCTCTTCTCCTGACAAAGGGCTTTCACAGACATTTCAGTCACAAAGCAAAATACAGAAGCTCATCCTGAAACCAGTGTTTGTCACGTGGGTCACCTCAAACACAGAGGGAAGGACTTGTGCTAAATTTTACAGCATCAGGAAAGGTGAATAAATCAGGTGACAACATCTGACATCTCCATAGGAAAAATGAACTGGGAATGGTCTCCCTGTCCACCACGTCTCCTCATACTGGAAAATGAAATGAAGTGTCAAAGATAAAAGTTTCTGTTTGCATATTGCAACCACAACATGTGGTGTGGACAGCATTTGCTGCTGACGGATGTTCTCAAGCACAGCAAAATGCAACACTCCCCACTGCTGTTACACCACGTCTTGCAAAGCAACTTGAATTTGCTTCATTAGAAAATGGAAAGCATGGCACATGTAGCTTTGCATTATTAAAACCTGCCATAACACAAAGTTTAGCAATTCATGTTGTAAGAACTGTGCATCTGCCAGGGAGAGATTTAAACTGGCAACAGGATTGGATTACGTTCAATATTGCAACTAGATTTTCAGCACTTCGCTGTCTAACTCATCTAGCTGGTAGGAAAACTAAAACCTACGAGGCTGAACTACAAGGATATCTCTAAAGTGTTGCAATGTTTGAAGTAATTGCAAAAGCCTGCAACATTTATGCAGAGATCACAGAGCAAAGTTACATATACTAAGAAATACAGTGAGTTGACAAATTATTTCAAATACCTACACATAATACATGACCAAAACTGCACTTGGTTGGTATTGAGATTGGATCCCTTACTGGAAAAAAAGCACTCTGAGTTCAAATACTGAGGAAGTGCCTATTTTCTAGCAAAAACATCACCCACTACCAACTACTCTCAATCACCATGGCAAGACACTTGTGAGACCCAGAAAAAAAGAAGTATCCTGGTCACTTAGACCTTCTGCACACAGAATACTGCAGGACTCGAGCAAACAAATAATCTGCACACCCTGCCTGGGATGAAAGGGCTCCTGCTGGATTATGCACAGATACACAGCATTAAATCCAAAAAAAAGGCTGCCTGCCCAGGGCCAGAACTTCCAAGAGATGAAGGAGAACTCACATTGCAGGCATACATTGCACTGTTATTTGAGATTGAAGGACTTATTTTCCTTTGCAGCATCCCCCACTGGGCAGCAGAGAAGGAACAATAAGACATGAAGACTGTGCCACTGAGAAGAGTCAATTAACTTGTGTAACCTACCCACTAATACTCCTGCCTTCCCGTTCCCTATTTACATCTAAAATCACATTGTGGCGATTTCAAGGAATTCTTTCTCCCCATCCCAAATTGCATGGCAGAAGGTCTCCAAGCCCTTGGTGCAAACTGGCACTGAAACTGCTCTGACAAGTGGCTACATCAAGTGTTAAGACCTCAAATGTTGCCCATCACTCATGGCAGTCCGGGCAGAGCTCCAAAGCAGCCTCATCAGTACAGGAAAACAGGAACTGATGAACTGAACACTGCCAGAGGATCTGTCAAGAGGTCAGAGCTCTGGTAACAGGATGACCACCTTAGCTGATGCTGTGATCAGCTAATGGATCTATTATGGATCCACAAAAAAAGCCCAAACATCTGGATGGTTATTCTGAAGACTAACCAGCATCTCAGAAAGAGAAGAACGTTTGGGCTGGAAACGTAAAAGAGCTAAATGCTTGTCAAAGCTCTTAAATTCAGATAAAGTAATTCCTGAGTCAACAGCACAACAACAAGAAGAAAAAAAGCAGTAGGTGATGTAGGTTAGTTCCCAGAAGGTACAGAAAAGAGTCAAAGGTGTTCAAATGAAAAGCTTGTGTCCTTCCACAACCAATAAGTGACAAACCCTGGCACCAAGCAATTATGAAGCTGGTTGTGCCGAGAGGGATGACCAGAACAAAAGAATCCAGCTGAGCCAGCAAGGGCATGCCTTGATCAGCTGCTTGTGGCAGTGATGTAAGGGCTCAAGGGCACAAAAATCTGAGAGAAGCCAATGGGACATCCACTGTGCAGGTGACAAAGATGACACTGCCAGAGTTATCAGTGGTGGAGGAGCTGAAATACTTCCAGCATCAAGAAAAAAAAACAGGCCATGTGACCAGAGGTGACTGTGTCAGCTGAAAGATGTGAACTTAGTTCATCTGGCAAGTTTGCACGGGACTTTTAAAGTAACATTCAACCCAAGCATTTTAATCCAACAGGAAATGGTGACTTTTCCAGGCTTTCCAAAAAAATAGACTGGACACCTTTCCAGAAAGTGGAAGTTGATGCTGGTGAGTTATCATTCAGGCTGCCTGGGCTGGAGGTGAGTGCCCAGCTGCAGAACCCAGTCTTCCCCAAACTGGGAGGAAACAAGCCCCTGTTGCAAGGGCACTTCCAAATCAGTACTTGGAGAGCTCACAGTGTGAAAATCCAGAAGCACCAGCAGGTCAGGACGTACAGACCACTTCAAGCCTCCCATCCCACTTTCCCTTCCCTCTGCCCTTTTGAGGAGTTGCTGAGAGTTAATTGCTCGAGGGGTGTCTCCACATCTTGAGCACACCAGTGTCTGCAGGTGAGCTGCTATCCAACCCATAAGTATTTGTCTTGGTGAGAAAGGCATCCTCCACCTCCACAGTCTTCACCTGGGGTTCAGAACCCCCATTTGCTGGGTTCTATTATGAATTACATTAACCTCCCATACCCAAAGAACCACACTAGAAAGTAGGATACTTTTGTCCTTAGTATGGACCCCTTTAAATAATTAGAATTCTAGTATTAGTCTAATTGATAGCAGTAGACACTAAAAAGCCTTCTCACTTTCTGAAAGTCTTGCTTTTGTTTTCACGTGCATTAAATTAAACCAGTCCAAAATCAGCCCCTGTGACAACCCCTCAATTTAAGAATAAAACTCAAGTCCTAGACTGATGAAAGAAATAAAACCTGAAGTTCTTTACCACCCTAGAAAAACAGGAAAGCGAATGTTTCCTTACAAGTTGCTGCCTGATCTTTTTGTTATGGGCCTCATAAACACGTGATATTTTATACTTTTATGGATTCTTATCCCATTATTCTTTCATGGCAAGCACTCAAAATTAACTGTCCCAAAACAGTTACTCTATTAAAGAAGAGAGGTTTGGTTTTTTTTTTCACTTGCAATACATTGTGTTCTATTTCAAGCCTGGTTTTCCATCTATAACTTAGTCCTGGTTGTAGCAGAACAAAATTCCAGCTTTTATGACAGAAGACTTTTTTTTTTTGATCAATAGAAGTCAGCAGCAAAAGCGTTTGTGGTTTTTCTCTGGAAAGCATTTGTGGCCACAGACTCAAAGGAGGAAGAAAGGGAGGAGGATTAACTCTTCAATGAAGGTCAAAAACATAATTTAAAAGTGAACCAAGAAGAGCAGCTGTGTCTGTCAGCACAATCAGGATTACCAGCTGGAGAATTTACCAGCAGTATGAAAACAATGCACACCAGATGTCAAATGTTGCAACTGCGAGAAGGGAAACATCGCTGGGCATGGCACTGTCGTGCTAGTGCTCATTACCAGACACATTTCAGATTTAGCATTTAGTTATTAATTAGACAGACACTACCAGGCAATAAAAAACCAACATTTTGAGCCTCACAGCGTAAGCCAGAGGCAGGTGTGCACACTGGGAACATTTCACAGCTCACAGTTCTTCTTTAACTGCAAACACAAGACTGTGATTTTAAAACAAACTAGCCAACACTAGAACATCTGCCCCTGAGCTTGCTTTAGTTTCTCTCAGTTCAATCTGAACTTTAGGCTTCAGTTCGGGCTTGTTTTGAAATAAATCTGAAATAAACTTTAAGAATAGAAGTAAAAATCACACTCTTTTCCATGGATAGTTATCTGGAAAGAATTGTACATAAAATTATGAAAGCAAAGACTTCACTAACACCTCTACCAGCCCTTCCTTCACCAGCTGCTTGTTATCTTTGCCTTTATGGGGCATTCTTATCTTTTTTTTCCTACACATTGTAGTCCAGGAGGATGAACTCATCCACTTCCAGTGCTTCAAACAGCATCTTTGAAACACCATTTTCTGTTGTTTAAAATACCTAATGTAGATTTCCTTTTTTTCTACATTCTTTGATTACCTTGCCTGCATACTCCTGTGTATTTATCTCTCAAATTAAATACAGAAAATAGGAAAAAAAAAGAAAAATGAGAGAGAGAGAGAGAGAGAGAGAAGGACTTGGGGTTTGTAGTCCTCTCCCCCTCCATGGCTGATGACTAAACTTTCTTCTTCAGTAGATACTTCTTCCAGCTCATTCCCCCTTCCTCTAACTAGTTCTGAACTGTTCATTCTCAGTCTGGAATGATTATGGCTGCACATGTATGAATATCTACAGAAATTATGATTCTATCTTTGCTTGCAGCTCCCTCCATGTTCATTCTCATTGTCCAAACACCTCTCCCAAATGCTCTACTTGCTCCATTGCAGTACCTTTTTTCTCCCTTCAATGCTCCATTTCCAAGAATAGATGGCTTATCCACTGATTTAATCCCTATCCTTGATCTTGATGTTCAGGAATTTCCCAGTTTCCACTGCTAAATTCAAATTTAACATATTACTTCCTTCATTAAAAACAAATTATCAGGCCCCAAGAAGCTGAAAACGTGGATGCTGATACCCAAATTATTTGTCATAGAGGCTATTCTGGGAATTGCTTGAAGTCTGTTTTATAACTTCCTTGATGGGATGGTGCAATGGCTTTATCTGAAGGAAGACATGCCCACGGAAAAATACAGTCCCACCCTAAAGAGCCAGTAAAACTGAATCAAGCTGGATAAAGTTATTCAAATACAATTACTGTCAGCAGAGGGAATGGACATGTGTTTGTGACACCTTATCCTGAATAAAACATCTGTTAGCATAGGGTTGTTAACTGCTGCAATTAAAAAAAAAAAGGGATTAGAAATGCCCAATCAATTGATACATTTAACTGCTTATGCACCCATTACTTTTTCCACTCTGTTGAAGATAAAAATTTCTTATAGATTTCATTATTATTAATTCAGGTTCTCCTTAGTTTCTGCACTCTTTCTACCGTATTTAAATCTGTTCCTCGTGGCTTACCTTAGCTTTGCCATCCTGTGCAGACATATATCCTACACACATGCTCTCTGTTGTATGGCTCCACAGAAATTCCACTATAAAGGAAAATGCAAGAAGTCACCAAAAAAGAAGCCTTGGTTTGAAATATAAGATGCAATTTAACAAGACTGGAATCTTGAGGAACAAAAATACAGCTTGAAGTGTCTCCCAGGAAAGGACCAAAAGCCAACTTGAAGAACAAAAACTACTTACCAGAATAATTCAGTCTCATAAGAACCAGCTATCAAACAAACCAGATTTTCCTGCACTATTTGCAGTCACACACTGCAGAACTAATACCCAGAATGAGAAGGTTACTTCAATGATCTGGAGCCTCCAAGATGAGAAACTGCAGGTAAAACATAGGACTAATTTCTGAAGCAGGTGCCTGTTCCAAACATAAAGTAAAAGCTGATACAATTTTCACTTGCTTGCCTTGAACCCAGACAAAAGCACACCAAACCAGCATAAATATATACATATTATGTAACTACCAGTGGGTAAATGGAGATTTGTGGTTTAGCTGCACAAGTAAGATACAGGAAAACACGCAGAAGTAGTCAAGCCTGCAATATGGGAACTGAAAATATAAAGCAGGCAGGAAAGACATCTGGTGAAAGCCAAATTATCCTGCAGAGAAAGCAGGAGAGGTGTGTGAGGGAAGCAGAGTAACACTGCACAGCAAGTAAGAAAGATTCCTGGCAAAATTAGAGCAAGACCTGGATCCAAAAGCATCCTGAATTACAACAACAGCAGCACATGCAACCACCCCCTTCCTTTGTGGAGAGTGTAAGGAGCACCAAGGGTAAGAGAGGAAAAAGAAAGATGGAGAAGAAACAAGATCATTTTGGATTTTGTCTTCCCTACCCAAGCACTCTCAGATCCGATCACGTGGATCCCCAGCACCAGCTATACAGCCTCAAGTCTGTGGTACTGCACTCACAGCTAATTTAGGATATAAATTAACAGTGACAATGATTAAGAAAACTAATCACTGCTCACATGTGTTGTTAATGCCTGTTAATGCAGTGAGGTGTTGCCCAGAAGTCTGAAAGTGGCCTGATTTATCAATTATTTAACAGCCCATTCCAGTGATCTTTAATTCCCTGACACATACACAGGTATCTTTTTACACACACAGACTCCTACTCTGCTGCAACACAAATTCAGAGTAAAAGCACATTATTCACACATTCAGCTCTCAGTCAGTGGAGCTTTATAAATTACCACACTGTGTTCTTGGTCATTTTTCTCTGTGTTCATTAAGTACATAATTTGGAAGGGGGAAAAAAGGAAAGAACAGTTGATCAGAATTCAGGGCATTACCTAGAATTCTGTAGAAGGTTTAAAAAAACGCCCTGAAATATAAATTCTTCCTCTGGATTACAGGAGACATTTCCACATATTTCTTTTGGGAGCCACAGCAAAAAAGCATCATTAGATGGGTTTAAAACTCTTACTCCTTTCTACTGCTCATATTCCTTGAAGATGGCTGGTGAAGGTCCCAGCGTGCTGAGCACACTCCTGCTTTGAACCACTTCCCCTGCATAGCAATTAACCCCCAGCAGGAGATCAAAGCTCAGACCTGCAGATTCTGACAGATATGTAGATACCATCATAAAAGAAAAATGAACTTCACTGAGGTCTGAGCTTTGCTCCCCACCCCTAAAAGATTCAGGGCTGGTATCACCAAAGGTTAGGCAAAAGCCTTCAGACAGGGGAGCATATTTAGTGCAACGTCAACGGGGCCAACCTCGCCCTCAAACACCCTGAAAGGTCAACTGCCAGTGAAAGCATTCATTTTTTGGAGACAAATTTAATTTTATCATTCAGTTTTGAGAAGCTTCAATACCTCTAGATATGGTATTATACAATTTTAATAATATTCTCCTTCTCTATTATCTACCAAAGGTAGCCTGTACTAGAATAAGCCATGGTTATTGTTAGCTGTTACAAGCAGTGGAATTACAATGAAAATCATAAATTACATGTGAAATGTCTTCAGGTAAGTATATTTTCAACCATTTAATAAATCACTTCCTTGCAGTTCGTTTCAATATTAAAAAAAAGAAATAAAATATATGATCCCTGTAACAAAGACATGAGATTTCCTTATTCTATACACTAAGTTTTTTTAGTATTGACCGACTTCTTTTCAGTACAAGCAACACAAATACTACATATGTTTAATCGTGCATTAACTCAGGAAGTGTCTGTGGTACAGAAAAAAATACTGTGCTACAGTTTATCTGAATCTTATTTCAGTGGAAATAAAATGAAGAATCAATGGATAAATAGTCTTTACTTATGATGTACCACATATGGGGATTTTCTTTATTAATTTCTGAGGAAAAAATGCCAAACCTCCATTAATAGAACATGTTCCCTTGCATGAATGATGAACATTAAATGAACAGAAAAACTTCCCTCACTTCCAAATGTAAGAAACTGAAGGTTAAGCTGATCTTCTTTGTTCTGACTTAAACTTGTATTTTCATTTTCTCAACTCCTTTTTAAGGACAGAATTTATGTTGCAGGATGCTTTTCCACTAGATTGATGTCACAGATGGGCAAATAATAATAAAGCAGAGTATTATACAAAGGAAAAACACTGAAATTCTGGTTACAGAACACAAGTCCATATTAGGCAGGTCGATGTGACCCAACAGCATGACCAGACACACATGCCCACATCTGAGGAGCACCACAGGAAAGGAGATGGCACAAGTGTCACCCTGAAGTAATTCAGTCCCAAATTCCTTCCCTTAAAGAGGTTTTACTGCCTCTGGGTTGTATTTCTACTCAGCTCTGCTCGTTGTGTGCAGCCTTTGGGGTTTTTCAGCTGTTTCTCCCAGACAAACCACATGGCAGTTTTCTACAATACACTTGTTCTGCTTCAAAGCACTGGGAGAGTCGAGGGTTGTATTTCCAGGACAGAAACAGGGCTGAAAGGGTTCTAAAGCCCTTTTTAACCAGCCAGGTACTGGGTGGAGGTAAAGAAGAGTTTTCCTGCTGATCCCAATATGAGCAGCAAACACGAGCTCCTGGTGGGTGCAAATGCAAATTGTAACTGTGACTTATCAGAGCAGGTTTTTCTGGGCATTACAAAGGATTTTTAACCATAAAACAACTTCCCAATTTCAAGTGTATCCTCCAAGTTTTCGCATTTTGTGCTGCAAAATGAGGAACAGGGAACTTTTAAGAAAGCGCTTTTAGCCTCTAAACCCCCCCAGCTAAAAATGCAATTTTTCCTATGGGGAACATATCCCACCTTGCCACAAGCAACTCTTATTTCTATGCCATGGCTTTAGAAGGATCCTGCAGAACCCTCTGAATCACAACTTTGCTTAGGGATAACAACTCAGAAAGAACACTCTTTTCCACAGTTTTAGTAAGATTAGCGCTGCTTGTTGCTTATTTCGCTGTCTAGATTGTTACCATTTCAAATTCAATCCTTTTTTTGTTTTCTCTGTGGCTTTCAAACAGCTGGTGAACATGCACAGGTAGTTTCTACTTCACCTTTCACTTTGAGTTAGCACCTAGGTCGGGGAAAGATGAAGAAGGATTTCTTACCTAGTAAAGTTGGCTTTTCCTGGGAAGATTCAGGCTCTGCTGAACACCTGCAAGACCGAAGGACTATCACCCCTCCGAGCACACCATCTTCATTGGCTAGAAAAGGGGAACCTGGGCAAAATCCACGGGGAGAATTATTTGTTTCTTAATGAGTAATTTTTAAATTGTAATCTGCTAATCTACCACTAAAAAAAAATAAAAAAATAAAAAAGGTAAAAGAGCTACAAGGAATAAAACAAACACATTGGAAATTACATTTGCGAGCACAAACCCATTTTTTTTCCGCAGATCAAGGAAGAAGTAACAGTGAAAAATGGAGTGTCAAGTTGAAAAAAAATAGCTCAATATTTAGTTCTTTATGTACTATAATTAATATAAAGATGGCCACATGTGGAAAAAATCAAGCAAATCTGGGTCATTTTTACAGTCATTTCCCCCCAATTTAAAGCCCTTTGTACAGAGACACCACCAAACTGCTATAGAGTGTCTTCCTTCCTGTTTTATGAATATTAGCAGAAAGCCAAAACATATCCTACTTTTTAGAGTGGCTTTTCTGTTGTTAATTTAAGGCATACAATACAAAACATCTATCAGAAGCTGGAAAGTTTTTAAAGTTAGCTGAATCAAGTATTCTTTCTCTGGTTTGTAATTCGAAATAAGGCTCCTATAGTTTTGAACGTGGAAACAATGGCGTAATTTACGTGCAATTTGAAATGTCTTGAGCGACAAAGTTAATCAAGTTCTTGCACTTAAGCCCACTGAGATCTTTGTCTCACATTTGCAGGACACTGTGATTTGAAACTGAGCATACAACTGCAACAGGCATTTCATATAATCCCTTTTGACCACTTTCTTTTAAATAAATTAGTTTGCCATGCCTAATGCACAGACACTGCAATTTGCTGGCCACAAGAACTTTAGAGCAGATCTTCTCCTCAGACTCCTTTAGGTCGCCCACAGCTGTTTGTATGATTAAAATTACTCCTTCAGTGCAAATAACAACAACAAAACGGCCCAATAAAAACCAACTTCAAGCTTTGCCACAAGGAAAGCTAAATCTTTATCTCGCTTTCTCTCAACATGAGAGCAGCCACATTCAAAAGTGATACAAGGTGGTCATTACAACAGAAGCCCACACTTCAGGAAAACAATAAATAAATAATAAAATTACAAGTAAGGCCCTATTTGATCTAATACAAACAGATATTATCTTTAAAGCAGCACATGCTTTGTACAAGAACTATTACTTAGGTACCAGTTACACCTCCTGTATTACTCATTCAGCACTGTGAGCAAACCCCTGTGAACCAAGAATCCAAGGGAGAACAGACAACAAAACAGGATAATATGTCTGGTTAAAACAGAAAGGTGAGGTCTGGGAACTTGCAAAGGGTTTGTGACCACCCAAATCAAAACCTTTCGCTCCGCGCTTTCCAAGGTGCTAATTATATCTCTTATACTTTCACTGCACGAACCAAGCGCTGGCTGGTATAACATGATTTCTGCAAGCCAATGAACACCAAAACCAACCAAACAGTAAAAGTGGTTTTATTCATAGGGGACATGCATTCTTTAATCTTTCCTTCAGAAACTCAGGTACTTCAAAGATAGTATCTTAACCCGAACTTGGTCTGCAGGCCTAATCTTACACTCCACTACACAAATAATTCAGCTCTAAGCCCTGCTGCGGTGAAAAGTCACTGCAAAGAGAAAGAAAAAGGCTCAGTTTGGTTTTCAATAAGCAGTTTCCACTCCTCTTTCAAGGGCTGAGAAAGAAGCTTTCAAGGTTGTAGTGAAAAATATTAATCATCTCTTAAGTGAGAATGGTTAAAACCATTCTACTTCAACAGAACACAGCCAGCAAACACAGCAGACAGTATATATTTAAGGCCACAGTAAAACACTAAAACTGAATGAAGGCACACAAAACCAGACAGCAACTGCTGATTACAGACTTGGTGTCACTAGAGGTGCTTGCATTTCGTTAACCACTGCTGTTTTTTTTTTAAGGGTTTTCTTTCTCCTACCTTCTGAATAGAACAAATGAAAGAAAAGCTTGTAAATAAGCCAATCTCATATTTTCCCAGTATTTTTGTCAGCTATGTGGCATCATCACAGATTTTCACTAATCTGAATAAGTTGCACATGCTTTTTTTAAGCCTTAAGAGGAGACTTGGCAGTATATTTCTTTCCATTCAGAAAGTCTGCAGGAAAACACGTAGCACTACATTTTCATCAGAATTCTTTCATTTTTACAGGGATTTCGGTGCCAGAACAAAACATTCACCTTCAGTGAAACACAGAAGTTAAAAAAACAAAAACAAAAAAAAAAAAATCACTCAAAGTATGTGTTTTGTGAAGCTTATTTTAAAAGAGGATTTAAATAAATAATTTAAAACTGGAGCTTCGAGCTCTACCTCTACATGCACAACTCTTGTCATGACAACTCCAGTTCTATCAGCATAAATAGCATTTATTTATTGACACTGAACATGGTGGGAACTGTATTGCCCTAAATATGTACATGGTTTTTTTCGGAACCAAGAGTTCCTTCAATGATTAAGCACCATGGAAGTTTTATTATCGGTCCAAAAATGTCAAAGGCTTTGAAATCCACGCTAAACACTCAAAAGCTAGAAAAATTGGCTGTATTAATTCAGAAGTGCATTGTCACCTTACTGTTATTTTCAACTAGAAAACTCCAGAAGAGGATTAATTTAATACCACTGCACATGTTAACAGTGGGACAAAAGTTTTAACTTCAGCACTCATAAAACACACCAGATGAGTAAGACACCGACTTCTTTTGGAATGACACGAGTTGGGCCCTTGGGGGAAGGGCAAATGTTGGTTATGACACGTGAAACCAGGTCATGCTGCACTAACTCCTTAAGAATTGACCTTACCAGTAGTACTGGGGTGAGACAGAGATGGGTAAAATGGGTTTAAAGTGACTTGTAGTGGGTCACTTGAATGGAATATTGAAGCAGATGTCTTAAGAGTTTAAAGTTATGCAAACAAAGCAAGGTTGATGGGATGCATTCTCTCTCCTACAGACAGTGCTGCCCTTTGGGTCTTCTACACCACTTTATCATCACCTGCAGAATGAGCATTATTCTGGAAAGGTGGAAAAAGTCTGAAAAATAAGCAACAATAGTGTGCGCTGTCTCCAATTCACTGGTCAAGTTGTGAGGAATCAACCTCAGAAGAGTGTCAGTAAAATCCACTTGACTACAGTAATAATATTACAGTATTCTACACTATAGTAAATTCAGACTGTTTCTCCTCTCTTAAAACTCAGCCTCTAAGCCAAATTAAATACACACTGAACAGCACATTCTTTAAAAGAGAGAAAGTATTTTATTTTCCAATTAAAGCCATTTTTCAAAAATGTTAAAAGAGGGATTCAAATATATTAACTTTTTTTTTAAACGAAGGTCTTTCTGGATATGCAGAATTATTACTGAGGATTACAATTATGCTAAAGAGTGTAATGTTAACACATCAATACAGTGTATATTAGGTCTATGGTAAGCAAAATTCCAGACAGCTGAATGCTATGCATCCATCATTAAATCTGTAAAAATAACAATACAAAAGCAGTATTACGCTTCATTTCTACACAGAATCTCTCCACTGCACATAGGAATTAATCTGAGTGTTCTCAAAACACTGTGAATTCAAAGGTTAAGAACATATTTCATTAATTTAGGTCTAAAACTCATTTTGCTACAGTGAACCCATCAAGAAAAAGAAATAATAGTGCAGACATCTGTAAAAAATAACAATATAGGTAATGACATTTTTTCATATACATCATATTTAACTAGTATTTCTAGAGGAAAAGGTGCAACTGAAATACTGCCATGTGTATTATAAAGGAAGAATGGTTTCTCATTAGAAGGAAAAAGTGATCTGGCTCCCACAATTCTACACCATTTTTGCTCTCCCTGTACTCTTCAGAATGATAAATCTTGCTGTACAAATTAAAAATTTAGCAAAATAAAAATCAAAATATGCCTACTAGCCAAAAATATTGTTTTCCACAGCAATAAAATAGAATTGCTAGACAAATCTTTGATCTAATAGCTCGCTAATGGCAACACTACAAAAACCTGGGGCTTTTAATACCCTTTTAACTCTCATGAAAGCCACTGTTCCTTTCCCAGTTACACTGCAATACCACTGAGGAATGTGGCACGAAAAATCCAAAGTAAAACTTCAGCTGCAGCATTAACCAATAATGCTAGCACTGACTGGCCACACCAGAGAAAAGGAGTAGGAAAAAACAAATAAAATCCATATTTCACTAGTTTGGGTTTAATCCTCACCTCCCCCAGTCACAAAATTGTATTTTACGCAACACACTTCCCTCCCTCAAAGCTCAACTATTCTGTTATTGCCACCTGACACGCAGAAAGCATTCAAAAGTTTTTGTTTCTATATTTTGTACTTCATTAATATGCAGTGATGGTCTCTTAAATTAAAAGAAGCAAACCATCTTCAGATCAGCTCCACATTCACTGATCCCATCGAGTTCTGCAGGAGCAACCCAGAACTGAACACCACGGCCCAGGTTCAGCTGCTGACCAGGGATAGAACTTACAGATTTTAGGAGTGTTAAGGCAAATAATGGGTTCAACATTCACCCTTGCTCTGGAGGAACTACAGCTACAAGCGAAAAAACACTTTTTCTGTGACATCTCTTCCCCACTAAACCTCCCTCCCGTTGCTTCCTCCAGAGCAGGTGATCCATGTGAGTGGTTCCCTTCAGAGCCTGTGCCTTTTCTCCCCATTTGTAGCTGCTGCACTGATCCACTCTAGCACAGATTCCACACCAAGCTGTAAGAGAAGTGTTTTATTTACACTTAGCCAGCTGAGGGATGAACCAGCTGCTCATCAGATGTTTTTACTCTTCATACTCTTCCACAGCAGAGAAACCATTACCAGCTTCGTTGTTTACATTAGCTTTTCAAAGGCTTAAGACTTTGGTCTCAACACTGACTGGGGGGGTGGTGTAACCAAATTAAGTGCTTCAGCATCCCCCAGTTTTAGCAGCCAAGCAGTTCTAAACCTCCTCGTGTTGCAGCGTGAGGGAAATTTGGGCTTTA